AGGGAAAAATGAGACTCCTTACGAAATGTGGAAAAATCGTAAGCCGTCTTATAAATACCTAAAAGTGTGGGGGTGTTTGGCTAAGGTTTCAGTTTCTGAACCAAAACAAATGAGAATCGGACCTAAGACGGTCGATTGTATACAATAGTACTGCATATAGATTTATGGTTCATAAATCAGAAAATCCGGAGGTATCGATTGGTACCACTATTGAGTCGAGGAATGTTATATTCTTCGAGAATATTTTTCCTTTGAAGGAAAGGGCAGAATCTAGTTCTAACAAGAGGACGTATGAAACTGCTAGCGATTCTGTACCAGATGGTACTGAAGATAAAGAAGAAGAACTGAGACGTGGTAAAAGGGCAAAAACGGCAAAAATGTTTGGACATGATTTTATTACGTATATGTTGGACGATGAACCGAGTTCCATTAAGGAAGCTCTGTCTAGCCCAGATGGACCACTCTGGGAAAAAGCTATAAATAGCGAAATCGAGTCCATTATGCAAAATCATACTTGGGAGTTGGTTGATCTCCTTGCGGGTTGTAAATCTATAGGATGCAAGTGGATCCTAAAAAGAAAATACAAAGCTGATGGAACGATTGATAAGTTTAAAGCAAGATTAGTGGTCAAAGGCTTTAAACAAAAACAAGGGTACGACTTCTTTGATACCTATTCACCTGTGACGCGTATAGCGTCAATTAGAGTGCTTCTCTCGATTGCTGCTTTGCACAATCTTGAGATTCATCAAATGGATGTCAAAACGACATTCTTGAATGGTGAATTAGAAGAAGAGATTTACATGGAACAACCCGAAGCTTTTGTAGCACCTGGACAAAAGAAAAAGGTGTGCAAATTGATTAAATCCTTGTACGGACTTAAACAAGCTCCGAAACAATGACATTTGAAATTTGATGACGTGATGTTGTCAAATGGGTTCAAAATCAACGAATGTGAAAAATGTGTTTATGTTAAAAACACGTCAAATACATATGTAATTGTATGTCTATATGTAGACGATATGTTGATCATGGGGAGTGGCCATGACGTGATCATGGATACGAAACGACTGTTGAAAAGAAATTTCGACATGAAAGATATGGGTTTAGCTGATGTAATTCTTGGAATAAGAATTATCAGAACCCAAGATGGAATTGTCTTGTCACAATCTCATTACGTAG